CCCCCCCCCCCCCCCCCCCCCCAGAGAACATCTGCCTGCATCACTGTCTGCTCCTGAAGGTCAGTAAAGAGGTAACCAGACGGAAAGAGAAGAGAGAGAGGATGAAGACAAAGACATGGAGATAAAGAAGTGAGTGAAGAAGAAAGGGGACACAAAGGGAGAGCAGACGTTTAACTCTCCTCTCTTCTATCTCTCTGTCCTCTCTCCCCACGTGAGGGATTCTATCGTGCTCCCTCAGCGTAATGCGCTGCATATGCTGCTGTTTGGACATCGCCTGACAAGGATACACTGTATTTCAGCGAACATAGAGGATAATGCAGTGTATGTTACAGGCATTGCTCACTGTTAGTCTACGAAAAGCAATGCACTGTAATTTGTATACAACCATGGATGCCGAGGAAGTCTCATGTAACGTAGTAGAAGGAGCCAAGACACTTAACCCAAAGTTGCTCCCGTAGGTGTGCCTACGGTGTGTGACTGGTGTGAATGTTAGATAGTCGTGATGGCCAGGTGGCACCTTGCATGGTAGCTCCTGCCATCAGTGTATGAATGGGTGAATGATGATATGTGTTAAAGAGCTTTGACTGGTCGGAAGACTAGAAAAGCGCTGTAAAAGTACAGTCCATTTCCCATTTAGTTTCGTCGCCGTTGAACATAGCTATCGGAGTGCTAAATGGATTTTGAGCTCATGAACGATTCTTTAAAATCAGCTGAGGGGAGGCGCGTAATAGCGGCTCGCGTCTCCGTCTCTCGTTCTCTCTCTCGTTGACTGTCCCTTCACTGACTTCACGTTGTTTTCCTCCTGTCGAAATGGAAAGTTACAACAAAGAAACAAGTGAGCTAAGAAACCGTGTCTGTCGCTCTGCTTCAGTACTTTGGACAGCACCACACCTACACACACCTCACACACACCTCACACACCTTACACACAACAAACAGTGTTTTCCATTATTCTGTAAATAAAGCTAAGCGATAGTCACATGTATCTCGGCCGATAGATGTGTGGTTTTTACTATTTTCTATCGATTTTTATAACAACATACAGCTTAATAAACAAAGGGGCGTCAATGAGCAAATCGGTCGACGATAGGCAAGACTTGAGTAATCAGATTTGATATGTAAAGTCTTAAGCAGACTTTGCTTTGATCAAGGTTTTTAGCCTGAGTAGGCTCTCCTCATGCTAACCATGTACAGAGGAAACTGTACATAATGCATCATTTGCGTATGCAAATCTTATAAATATGCAGCTCATGCTCAAGTGAGTTGAAGTCCTTCAGTCTTAGCGGATTATTGGATTCTCTCATATCATTTCTAATAATATTGAAAAAACAAGAGCGGCTGGATCAAACTGACAACGAAAGTCAATAAGTCTCAGATCAGTGAGCTTGATGAACTGATTAGCATCCCCCTAAGGCTGCACATACACACATAAGATACGGCAACACATGAACACAAAAACACACGTACAATTTCCGCTGATCGAGTCAGACGTGATTGTTTTATTCATACAAACACAGGTGTACTCTTCAGAGCTTCAAATGTCTGCGTGCGTGTGTCTGTGTTTGAGTCGGTGTCATTAGTGGTAGCCAGGACTTACTGCCTGACTTGCCGAGCTCCCATGCTAACGTGAGAGTAATCACATGAGCCCCCGTGACACGTCAACGCTCCGATGAGAGCTTCTTCCTCGACACAGTTGAAGACAAAGTGTCCCTGCAGAGAATGTGCTGCACTAAACAAGTCCTGAAGTCAGTTGATTTAATAAAAGATTTAATTATGACAACCTCAGACATAATGACAGTGTTTTCATTTATGTTTTTATTTATTATATACTTTTAAGGGGTTTTTCCACATGTCCATCTGGGTGAACAGCATGCGTTTTAGTTTTCAAAAGAGGAAATACATGAACCACTGAATACAATGATATATTATGTGAATACTATATGATAATATGATAATATGTTAATGCTGTTGCTGGGTGACACAACAGGTGAATAGGTTAATATACAGTAGGTCTCACCATGAAACTTACCCAGTTACTTCGTGTTGAGATTAAGAATTTGAAAGGAAAAATATCAAACCCTCTTGCACACAGTTGCACAAAGTCACAAAGCTTTTATTGCCAAGCAGGTGAGATTTTCTTATCTTGGTTAAGTTGACTGGCTGTTGTCCAAAACACACTGCCACATGGCTTTTACAGGAAAAGCACCGTGAGCCAGCATTCCTGCTCACTGTAACCGCAGTTTCAGATGGAAACGCTACAAAATCATCATGTGGCGTTACCATATTTGGATTGTGTTTTCCCTAAGATGTCTGGCAGGCATCCGTCTGTATCTCTCAGCAATCAGGCACAGTGTGTCATGTCAGCGTCGCCTTCACTGACTCTAATTGGCATCGGGAGATCAAAGGAGCGGTGTAACTGTGATATTCAAATGACTAGCAAACAGGTTGTCATTTCATCCCCCCAGCCCATTGAGACTGTCAATCAATCTGACAAAGACGTCGTATTGTCATTGATACACCAGCAGCTTGTTTTATTAGGTGTGTGTGTGTGTGTGTGTGTGTGTGTGTGTTTAATTAATACAACTCTGTTGAATTTCCTCTAGTATGAGAGAGTATGTCATGCACGTTATATAAATGTTTGTGTGTGTACATATAAATCTGTGTGTGTTGAGGGGGAGGCTGTAAGGAGACATATGAGACTTTCTCCTTCACATCGACTCCTGCTTCCCTTGTTAGCCGTTATCCCCATGAAAACAAGGGGTTAAAGTGCTTGGTGCCTCACCCTAATAGGGAACGCCCAGAAGATACCCGATGAAATAGAGACGCATGTTCATTTCACAACCCACGCTTGCCGTACCGGTGAGGCCGGCTGTCGCTCGCTATTGAAACGGCAGATCAAACGGCAGCTGAAACCATCATGGCGTAGTATTCAAAAGACACCGACCAGGCATCAAACGCACACATCGCACACACAGTGTTGAGTGGTGAGGATCAAAAGGCCATTCTTCCCACCACGGTGGCTGGAGAGCTGTAACACTGCAGTGCTGGTGTGCTCCAAGTATATCGTTCGCCTCAGCTGCCTCCTCTGTAGTCTTGATGAGACTCGTCTTTGAAAACAAGAGGCTGAGAGTCCATTTCAACGATCAGCCATCTCAAGCAGCATTTTGTGGTCTGCAGTTGCATTTCTGACACGCGGCATGTTAGCTATGGCGTAGCAACGGAGGCTAACCCTTAACACAGAACTATAAATCTTTCTTATGTTTGAGGCACTTCAGAAACAGTGGCACTATTACCCACCAGAGAACACTTCACCTGTAAAAAGTCACACTTATATCATGGTCTTTGAGGATTGATAAGAAAGAGGCTAAAATGCTCTGTACAGCTGAAGGACTGCAGAGTTGGCCAAGAGTAAGATGAAGTTGTAAGATGAAGTGAGTTGTGTTACAAAGGTAACACAACTCACCAACCAGCACTTCTAAAAAAGCTCTCTGATTCACATGTTATGTCTTGTTTGTTTGATCTGTAAAAATTATGTAAAATTAAATATTGAAGTTGCTCAGGAGAGAAAGAGATATTTGGAAGAGTTGATTTCATTGAAAAATGTAGTTGACATTTTTCGCTTTATCTCCACTGGGATGTCAGGGTCAGATGTACAGCTTACTGTATATGTATTTATATAGACATCAGAGGGTGAAGTTAATAGTCATACAACCTATTTTCAAGATAAGAAAACGGTCTTGTCTTTGGTATACATATAATTTACATTTTTTGGTGATTTGTCTCCTTACTTTAATAATGACAGACATACCTTTTGGATTTTCAATATACGTATAATTCTTGTGTTTTATTGAACAAAGGTATTGATGCAATCTTTGCTTTGTCTGTGAACATATTCCTTGACATCATTTCCAGAGGTACATGTGATGCATGCATCCTAGAGGGAACTTCTGCTGCGTTTCTTTCGAAGCCCCATAGGGGAGGTCGCCCACCCTGAAACCACCAGTGTGTGGGGTTACTCAACTTTTTGGGGCCTTAGTTCCTCTAATACTATATGCAAAGTAAGACATTCAGCACCCCCATATAGCCAGAATTGAATGATCCTTTGCTTCATAAGCAGATTTTCCCGCCACTGCGATGGTTCAACTGTGAGATTGGCAGCTGAAGCAAGCTCTTAAAACATTCGATTTGCGGTCACCTCTAAATAATAATTCAATCGATTGCTTTCATATGTAAACGGTTCTAAACGCAGCTGAATGACGCGTTTGCTTCCAGAGAAGCTTGCAGTGGCCTGACGCAACATTGTTCTTTCTGTCCTTTGTTGTCCATCTGTACATCTGCAAATGTCGAGTGCTTACGTCTCTCCTCTGTCAGGCCTGACTCCGGACAGGCTGGGTCCTCCATCTTATGATGCCAGTCCTTTGAGTCCAGAACCAACAACACCGGGGGCCGAGTCTCCGTCACATCACCACTTCCACGACAAGGCCCAGCTCAGACGTTTCTCCATGGAGGTAGGTAGCAAAGGCTCAAAGGGGCCACTGTAGGAGGACACAGGTTAATATGGCGGATGAGGGGTTAACAGGCGAAGTGTTTAATTTGGTTTCCCGTCATGCTTTAGTCACATGCCGCCACAGTGATTCTGGATTTATGTGTTGCCCATCGAGCACTGATTGGAAACTGTCAAGGTTCAAGTGCACGTTAAAAGCATTAAAAATCAGCCCAACATAGATACCAACAGTGGCGCATGCAGTTTGTTCTCCTGTTGAAACTCTTCCCTGGGAGTCGTTTTTTTCATTTCCACCTCTGCCAGCTCAATTTGGATGAGTCACCTCGAAGATTTTATCCCTCCCCAAAGGACCAGACTTTTTCTTTATTGGAAATGTGAGAGAGTTCACAGTTCCACCTTTTCATAAAAAGTCCCCGTGGAGCGAGTGTGATTCACCTGGAGTCTGTCTCATGCTCCACAGCAGACAGTGGAGCGAAGCGATGCCAGAGGGGAGTGAGTGCTCGGGAGGGACTCGAGACAGACAGAAATAATGTTGCAACAGTAACGGGGGAGGTTAGACAATCTGGATGGCTTCCATCAACAAGCATAGGAAACATTAAGTTCCTCTTTCTAAGCAAAGGGTTTACAAGTTATAACTAATGGCTGGTTAATGGTTAATTAATGCATTATAGATCAGTTAGGGCAATTTTTTTTTTTTTATGGTGGCGAAGTTTTTATGGTGGCGAAGTTGGGAAAAAACTCTTTAGCTGGTGTATAACATCTTCTTAGTTATCGCTTTTCCTAATTGATCAGGACGACCTTTCCAGTGGACAGTTCAACCCCATCCCCTGGAAAAGGGCTACATAGCAAAATTGATTTAATAACACGTTAACATTTACAAGCCCAGACTTGACTTATTGCTGTAGTGGAAGAGCCCCTCATTAATTAATGACTTCTTAACATTTAAAGGCCTTGCACATCCATGGCACACCCACGCAGGTGATATCACTTCTGACCGATTAGCCTCTTCTTACGACTAAGTAGGTGAGAACAGACGGCGACATGCAGTTCTCAGCATTGCGCCGCTCACCTTCACCCTAAGCAAAGGTCCAATCAATCAAACGATGAAAAATAACTGTGTTGGAGGTGTTCTGGGCCTTTATTAGTGCAGATGTGATGGCTTATCAAGTGAGAATGCCATGGCACTTCATCACTTTCTAGAAAGACATTGCGTTTGCAGTTATAGGGAGGGATGTGACCCGTCCACGGACGAGCCAAATCCAAGAACCGCCCACGGACCGCAGCAAACCATTGGCGTATAAAGAGAACTGGATACAGCGTTAGAGGTGGGGACCAGTTCAGTTCCTATGAAAGTTGCTCAGTGGTGCATGAAGCCAAAAAATTCTTCGAAGTAAAAAATCCCCCTTCAGGCAATCGTCCACATCCATGCAGCCCATACAGCAAGCGCACTAGTGATTCCTTTTAACCCCGCCTCCCAGCCCTCGGTCCAGCCTCGTTCACATGAAAAGAGGAAGTAAATAACTCTAGATTCGGCTAGTAGTGTATTTTACAACCTTACGGACCTAATAATTTAAATAAGGGCTATTCAAGTGATGCTACCAGGGAAGTTGATTTACCTCAAAATAAACTATCTGCTCATTTCCAGATCTCATTTCCAATCCCGAACTCTTTCAATATCAGTCTATGGGAAGAAGTCTTTTGGGCCCAATGGCATTAAGTGACGATTCTGGAAGTTCTAACTCCACTGTTAGGCCACTTTGTCAAATTTGCTTTAAAGCCCGGCAATCTTCCTGGGCGCTTGGAGCGAACCCGCCCCAATCGGACCGTTTCGGGTACAGCCACGTCTTTCCGTTTGTTTGCTGGACACGGCGTATGTCCACCGTTTTGGTTTGTTAGTAGGAGGACACAAATGCAGGACACATGCCAGGATGCAGATGAAGGTTTATTGCAATGATTAGGCCTATTGTTAATGGAGATGGGTTGAAGAAAGGGGACGTGAGAATCGGGAATGGCTGGACGTGACCACACACACACACATTTACACAGATGGCACCTGTACCATCTCCTCTGTAGACAAAATGCCAGTTTGTATGTGTGCACATCCTGTGAAAATCCTCTTCTTCCTTCTCTGCATATAACAATTGCCCTCCTTTTTCATTCATGTTATAACTGACATGTTTGAATGTACGTGATAATGTACGTATCATTTAAAGCCATTATTTACACCTTCCATAAAGTATGCCCAGTAAGAATGTGGTACCACGTACAGAAAGGGTATTCATGATAGCGCAAGGTCAGCTTAAGATAGCCGGTGGCCATATGTCACAAGGTCCAACTGTTTGTACTAAAAAATTCACGATCTGTAAACGTCGGCTGAACTCTTCCCCCACCAACCTACAGGACGTCAGTAAACGCATGTCTCTGCCCATGGACATCCGCCTGCCTCCAGAGTTTCTCAAGAAGCTGCAGCTGGAGAGTGAGGACCCACCGCTCTGCAAACCTCCCAGCCGCATGTCTCGACGTGCTTCCCTGGTAAGTGCCTTACATCACTACGTATTTGCATAGCCATCATATATAATCATGTTGACAGTGGTTATATTTCATCTCGTATTCACCTCTGTAAGGCTGGTTTGTTTATCTAATCTTACTGAATATAAATCTTGTTGCAGCAACCATTATTGGCTTCTTGTTTGTTTCACAATGCATTTGATAGATTACCCTTCAACCAGTGAATATCCCGGCTCATATTACGGAGCAAATTTCCTCTCCGCAAATTACTAGTGTTCTTATCTTGCCTTCCTGCTATTATTATATGTTTTGTCCTCCTGTATTAATATTATTATGAGGCATCAATCAGGTTAATTCAGTGAAGGAGGCTTTGCGCAATCAACTAATGTTTGCCAATATGATGCTTGACTATATATGTCATATATATATACTGTATATATATATGACTGTTCCATGGTTTAATCAGAGGAGAGAATTGTAACAAATCGATTTACTTTTTTTCTCCATGTCTCTAGTCCGACATAGGCTTTGGGAAACTGGAGACATACGTGAAGCTCGGCAAACTGGGTGAGGTACGTCTCCACCGATTACTCACACATTCACCTTTTAACACGCGGTCGATGCCGATGGTAACTTGAAGATAGAGGCCACTTCATCGGGCACGGCTAAGGCATCTCTCTGGTGCATAATGCCGACCGTATAATAAAGACTCGCAGACAACTTGTGGTCAGCAAGTTGTCTTGCGTTAGTTGGGATGCAACATGAATAAAAACACTGCATTCACACCGTGTGCTTTTACATGTTTTACTCTGCACAGAATTATCGGTCCTTCGAGGGCTTTAAAGATTGCACGACACAGCACCTAAAAACCCACAGGTTTTATCTGAGAACAGCTGTTGCCTCAAGGAGAGAGGGAGGATTAGTGACGGAAGCTGTGTGCCTTAGTCCCAGTCACAAGGCTCAGCAGCTGATAACAGCGGTGGTGAGTGGAAAAAGAGAGAATAGAGCTGCTTTTGTAGTCGATTGTCACGAATGGTTCACAAAGGCACAGTATGGTTAATACGTGGTGGAAGACAGTGTTTTACACATGTGGCCATTGTAAAAGTACCTTGTTTACTACTGCTCCTTTTATTAATACCCGGAGGGTTTTTCCTCTATTTTAATCTTGCAACACCTACAATCAACATAATGACATGAGGAACTGTCAGCAGTTCAATACTAGGATAAATAAAGGATAATCATGAGCTGTGATAAATCGATAATCAGAAATAATCCCTGAGGAAATAAATAAGCATTAAATGAATGGATTTAATCCAAGCCTGTTTGAGAAGCTTGCATTATGTAATGTTTTGAGGCTACTCGTGTATCGCAGAGGTCAAAGCTTCAAACCTCATTCAGTCAGCTGGAAATAAATGATCTGTTGCCATTTATGCTTATTTGCTGTGGATGATGAGAGGATTTAAATCAAATTAACTTGATTATTCTGTGGCTATTAATAGAAAGAAATTACATACCTGCAGGTATTCGAGCAGCAGCTTGTTAGAATATATTATTATCAGAATGTCACCTGTGTGTGTGTGTGTGTGTGTGTGTGTGTGTGTGTGTGTGTGTGTGTTCATAGGGGACGTATGCCACAGTGTTCAAAGGGCGAAGCAAGCTAACAGAGAACGTGGTGGCATTAAAGGAGATCCGGCTGGAGCACGAGGAGGGAGCACCTTGCACTGCTATCAGAGAGGGTACACACACTCACTTACTAGTATTGCCCATGTAATCATTCATCATAAAGTACATCGTGAAAGATTTTACCTTTTGGAAATGAATTATTCTGAGTTGTAGAAATCTCCCCTTATTCCGACCTGTATTCATTTAAACTTCTGTATCCGAAATCCATACATCATAGTGACAAAATGAAGTATACTCCAAACAGTCAGTGTACAAAACAAAACACTGCTGATGGACACTTTTGTCCCACAATGCAATGCGCAAATGAAATGGAATAACTAATCAGCTGGGAATATTTAAAAGTAAATGTAGATGGTGGTGAAACAGCTCCAGGAACAGCTCATAAAACAACAAACAACTAAATATTAGATTTTCGGACAAATCATTTTGCTGTATCTTTATTAAGTCTTCTTTATTAAAAGTTAAAGGGTAACTTCAGGATTTTTCAACCTGGACACTACTTTCCCATGTTTTGTGTCTAAATGACTACGAGGAACAACAATATTTGAAATGGGTCCAGTACTAAGTGAGAACGCTTCCCCAATTCCCCAATTAGTCAACATGGGAAAATAGGGTCCATGATGAGTCATGATTGATTATGATACTTACTGCAACAGTAAACTATAAAGATCAGTACACTGTAATGAATTAGAATGTAGTACGGAATTAGAACATTTCTGCAGTAGGTTTAAGTTCAACCCCAGATACGATGACTTCTAGAGGCATTCACAGGATGCAGCAGCCGAGTTTAGACTAAACCACAACTCAACTTATCTCTCTTCCTGTCCACCCAGTGTCCCTACTGAAGAACCTGAAACACGCCAACATTGTCACGCTGCACGACATCATCCACACCGACCGCTGCCTCACTCTGGTGTTCGAGTATCTTGTGAGTACAGCATCGGCAGCTCAGCACGCAGGTGTTTGGAAAAGGTGTTGACCATAAATAAATGGACTATGGGTAAATTTTGAGTGTGGACACTGTGGCTGTTGTGTCTTCCAGGACAGCGACCTGAAGCAGTACTTGGACAACTGCGGGAACCTCATGAGCATGCATAATGTCAAGGTGAGCCACCCGCATGATTCAGGTGTCAAACACTACTGACTGTGTACCAGAGAAATTGACGTGTATTGGTTTACATCTCTGCAAATACATCAACCCAACACGTCTTCATACCTCAAGGACCATAAGGACAGAAAAGGTTGTTAGCCAATGACTCCCAAAACGACGTCTAAGACCGCCCTATTTAACGTTTTAAACACGTGGTTAAAGTTGTTGAACGGAGGTACTAGGTTAAGTTTACGAAAAAGAGCGTGCTTTGGGTTTAAATAAGTATACTACATAGTTCATGTCATGGTTACATTCTAACGATGTTAAGTACATTTTGGTTTCACACGGGACAGGAACAGCGGTCTGCTGGGTAAAAGACCTGTGTTTCTTTGACCCATCCTACCACTCCGACCTCTTCCTTCTGTGGACTTTGTCGCTCTTTATACTATGTCCCCTCACTTCCTCCTTTGCTCCCGTCATAATTACTACTGCAACTGGAGGTAATGCAAGTTTTAAGACACTTCTGCATTGGCTTCACTTGGCAGAACCGGAGGTTGCCACCTGGCCAAAACGCAAATATTTAAGCAGAATTATTTTCATGGAATTTTGTATCGTAACGACAGAGGGCTGGAATTACATTTTTAGAAGATTTACTTTAGGTTTCAGATTCAGTTACAGGCGTTCACACTGCAGAAGGAGTTAAAGCAGATGAGGGTAGACTTGTATTTTTAAAATCCATATTCCATTGTAATCACAAAGATGTTTAATTTTTGATCTTCATCATTTTCCCGACAGATCTTTATGTACCAGCTGCAGCGTGGTCTGTCCTACTGTCACAAGAGGAAAATCCTCCACAGAGACCTAAAGCCTCAGAACCTGCTCATCAACGACAAGGGCGAGCTCAAACTGGCCGACTTTGGTAGGACAAACCGCCCATTCACATAAAGCATACACGAACATCACTAAATGCAAAGGTGGTTGTAAAGACAAAACAGACACTTGGTAATGAGATAGCAGGTTTCATGCCACAGTCGCTTTTCTATTATATTTCGCTGCCGCTCGCTGATCTTCTGTCCCCACTTCTTTTGCACCCTTACTTGCTGTATCCTAGCAACTGTGCCCCTCTCTCTGAGTTTTCTCAATTGTGTGCAGGAAATGGGGAGATAAACCCACCAGCATTCCCTGACTATTTAAGTGATATGAGCTGATAGAGGGACTAATCCAACATTTTTCATGATTAGCACAATGTGTACATTTGTTGGCGATTAGTATATGAGCTGTTACTGACTACACCTCATGAGTGTTATCATGCTCTGTCACAGTGTTACCCCACTATATGAGAGACGTGGAGACACACAATGTTTGTCATTGCGAAGGAATTTTGGTACAAAGGTAGTACCAAAGTGAGTAACAATGGCTGTTTGCACAAAAAGCTGGCTTGCTGAAATAGCTGACGAAAGCCACTCTGCTGTTACTGACGTCTCACCGGGAAATGTGCACCGGTAAAATCTGGCCACATACTCCAAAGAAATAGGGGTCAGCATTTCACCTCTACCACTGGGTCCATGCAATCTAAATTTTCAGTCGTCAGTTATTAAAAAGAGAAAAATAAAAGCTACTACTGACTAACAGCAGGGCAAGAATTCAAATTTAACCAAACTGCAGGAAATGTGTGGCGTCTGCCAATATAATGTTTATTGTGCCACTAACCAGGGGGCCGTAGGATCCATGTGCTTGTTGGTAGTTTGTTTATTGGACTGAATCCAAAGAAACGAGAAAATTATAAGTATTTAGTTTTTTCCCTCCCCGCTATCAGAAGACTACTTTGCTGGAAGGAGAGCATGCAGCAGCTCAAGGAGACGGACCTTCAGTTAGTGGTGCTGTAGCAACACAAATTCAGATGCAATTCCCAGTGCTAGGGGGCCTGATCCCAAGGGGACTGCGCTGGGACCAGACACAGGCTTGACCTGCTGTGACTCCCGGTGCTGGGGTTTACACTGGTGGAATGCTAGTTGCTACAGCTAACTGAAGGTCCGTCTACTGGAGCTGCCACCTGCTCTCCCACCGGGGAAGTGTTATCCTGGTGGCGGAGAGGATGACACAAAAATACTAGTTGTTTCCATGTAGGACCGAGGACAGACAGGACGCTACAGTTACTCGCTATCGTCTTTTAAGGTACAAGTGGTATCACAAGACAGGACAAGCTGGGACTAGCTTAGTAGTCATAGCCATTTCAGTATATATCTCTGCAGCACAATGCATTAACGTCTTTGACATAACACTGTCACCTCTTCCCATGCAGTTGGTAATGTTAATTTTTGAATGTTTTAAATTAAAGTTCTGGTCTTACACATTGCGCCTTCAAATCCTAACCAAGTTGTGTTTTCCAGGTTTGGCGAGGGCCAAGTCCGTCCCCACCAAGACCTACTCCAATGAGGTAGTGACTCTATGGTATCGACCCCCTGACGTGTTGCTGGGCTCTACAGAATACTCCACACCCATTGACATGTGGTGAGTACATCAATATGGATATTTGATGATTAGTAGTCAAACATGTACTTGCCTACCAACACAGTGCCACCCGCAAATGATAACTCCGGCCTTGTGGATGAATGGATAGATGATATTGGTTAGCATCAGGTATCCAACTCGGTAAGATGGATCGCATCTTTCTGAGATTATTACCAAACATGAAAGCTGCAGGAAACTCTACAACTAATCAAACAATACAATGCATACAAACAGGGAATTAAGTAGTATAACAGCAAATTGTGCAAAAGTAAAGGTATTGACCCAGTCAGAATAATCACCAGTGTAAAACTTTTTTTTTTCAAATGTAAAAATCATGTACGGTTATTAATTGTGTAATTTCCTGCTCAAAGCGGTTGCTGCCCCACCATTTCTTTCCCAACTTTGGCATCACTGAGCGTATTGTTGAGCAGCACTTCAGTCAGGAGTGAGGAAACAATCTTGCCATTTTTGATATAACATGGTTTACTTTAATGGAAGAGAACTCTGTTGGTTGGAGAGTATCATTTTTAAAGTCTGCTGAGTTTATCATTTTAATATTTTTAACATTTCTAAATTACGGGACGTGTTTTTTTGCAGCCCTGTGATACGTGGTATGTGGCTAATTGTTTGCGATGTAGGCTATATAATTTTTTGTTAGCTATACCATGCCATATTACTGTTTTTGTACAAGCGTATTAATTTGCAAGTTAAGAACTAATATCTACAAATCTGTCTGTGCAGAAGTTTGACATCTCTGATTAGCCTACTGGTAGTTTTAACCCTCTCATCTGACCTGGGGAAACAGGTTGAGTTTTACTTGGTAAATCAGATGAATGTCTTACAACTTGAGGATCATCCAGGACTCCCATGAATCATTCATGCAAAATCTCACAGGTTATTAGCAGGGAGGTGAGTCACTAGTCGTACAATGGAGCCTATCTCATTCGAATCTCCCCCTATGTATTTATGCTCATTAGCAGTCCGCCGTGGCTAGAAACTCGCACAGCTCTGGCGAACCACCGAGGATTAAATGTGTCTCTCTAGCAGCACGACGGCCCTTTATGAGCTCACCTAGCTACACGTCCTCTAATCAGACCACAGGGCGCCTTTTCAACACGCCGTCCTGCATGGAACAAAAGGCTGCCCACTCATGCCGCACATGTTTGCACTTATGATCAGCGCTCTTTGAAGTGTGTGTGTGTGTGTGTGTTCTGTGTGTGCTCCTGTTGTTTTGGTCCTCCTCCCTGCATGTTCACCTCCTCCCTCCTCTTTCAGGGGCGTGGGCTGTATCATGTTCGAGATGGCAACGGGTCGTCCCATGTTTCCTGGTGCAACAGTGAAGGAAGAGCTCCACTTAGTTTTTAGGCTCATGGGTAAGATGGCAGCACATTATGATAGTATTCTACAGGCCTGGCTATAGAGTAAGAACAAGTGGTAAAAATGACAGTGTCAATGACAGCAGACAATTGTACATTTCTTTGTCTTCCAGGCACTCCAACAGAAGAGACCTGGCCTGGGATCAGTAGTAATGAGGAGTTTAGGTCTTATCTCTTTCCTCAATACAGACCTCAAGCTCTCATCAACCATGTGCCCAGGTAACACAAACAGGTTTTATACCATGGTCTGGGTGAATACTCGATTCTGATTGGCTGCAGGGTGTCCATTGATTCCTGATAAAGGACACCTACTAGGCAGTTCCGGTGAAACAGCACTTTATCTTATTATTTAATGTCTTGTGCTTCAGGCTGGTCTCATCCAGCATTCATAGCAATACCTTAAAAAATAATGCGCCGTAATCCGTAGATACATTTCGTGGGATATCCCGTAATCTTGAAAAAGGAAGTAAAATGACAGTTAAAGCACAAACTGGACGGGCTGGATTGGAGGTGGATGGGTCCAATCAATGATTATACAGCCAGGAGACCACTATTAGTTCCCCATGAAACGAGAAGTCAGCGACGATCTTTTCCTCAACCAAACTAAGTCGTTTTGTTGCCTAAACCTAACTAAGTAGGTTAGTTGCCTAAACCTACCTAAGTCATTTCACAATCTAATCTTCAACCAAACCAAATAGTTTTATTGCTAAACCTAACTAAGTAGGAAACGCACGAAAAATGAGGAGTAACTTTTCATATGAAACGTATGAGGTTACGTTGCATATTTGGTTTGGTCATATTTCTTTTGTATTTTTGGCAAGTGTACTGTTTTTATACTATCTGTGGTGGTTTTTTTTATGTGTTGGTGAGCTAAAGACAAATTTCTATTCTGGTGGATAATTAAGATATATTCTAAAGAGCTGAGAAAGGAGAAGGGTATTAATTTCTTCATTTAGCTTCATCATGAAACTGATTTAATTTAATTAAAATAAATCAGCCAGAGCATTTTGGGCGTCATTTTGGGGTATTTTCAGCGTGTAATCGTTCCCCGAATAGTAATAACTGAACCTTTTTCTTTGTCTCCGTCAGGTTGGACACAGAGGGGATCGACCTGCTGTCTGCTCTGCTCATGGTATGAGGCGAGAGCACAATGACCTTCTGTCCCCCGGATACGGGCAGAACTGAACTGTGATTTCAGAGACGGTCTAATCAGCCACTTTTGTATTGTGATTGCAGTATGACACCAGAAGGAGAATCTCCTCTGAAGACTCTCTACGACACTCCTACTTCCTGAGTCTGGGAAATAACATACTTAATTTGGCAGACAGTAAGACATAAACACACACACACACACACCCACACACACACACACACACACACACACACACACACACACACAAAGTGAACACATCTTTAAAGCCTCTTGGGTGGATTTGAAGTCCAAAAGCTTTTGGCAACTCTGGCTGTGAACAGCGAACTTTCCTTTTACTGAAAATGTGCTACTTTTCCATTTCAGCTGTGGCCTTTCTAAAAGCCATAGTTGAACCGTGTTTTGTTAGGTCAATTTGCATATTCTGACCAAAAATTGCACAGAAAGTGCACATTGCTAACACAGCAATGGTCAATAAAGGTCTGACAAGGTTTGTTTAAAAAGCTCTGGGTTGTAGTCGGTATACAAAGTTTTCGACCTATTTTCTCCTCCTCTCCTCCCCACAAGAGGGTTCCTTGTTGTAACACAGGTAAGCCCATACATGAATATAGAGGAGAATGTACAAATATAAAGACAGTTTTAATCTGTTCTTAAAACACATTGCTCTTTAGTATTCAACATCTTGAAAATAGATGTTTTTCTTCCAACTTTGGCAAAACAGAAATCTTCGCTAAAATGTACACCACTTAATAAGGGAGAGGCTTCAGCTGAATGCTGCAGGGGGTACAGTGGGACACGCAGCTTGCAAACTCTATGATAGTAACAAATGAGCAAAAACACACTAGGTGAGGGAACGCACAAGAGTTGACAGAAAATACTAACTTGCTGTACAATATTCCACATAGTAACACTGCTCCACCACCACTCCTTACAATACTCCACTAAATATATACAACGGCAAGTACAGCTACAATGCCTAAAATAACCAGAATGGAGCAGAGCACATAGTTTAAATAAACTAACGGTCTAGGACAGCTTGCTCAAGCGGCCACAGACAAGACCAAACTGCAGTGAAAGGCAGACAAATGGCAAAAAAAATAATGAGCAAACTGCAACTAAAAGCAGGGCAACAAAATAGGAAATAACTAGAAGCAGGCTAATAAGGCAACATCAATCGAGACAAGACAAAAGTCTTGGCTGACTCCCCACACCCAGTAAAACAGCCAGGAATATCCCTGCACTCAACGGCTCAATCTCCAAGCCTGATACTTTGACATGTCCGACACACAACCCCAAGAACAAACCTTGAGACGTGGTGAGATAAACCTGTGAACAACCTTCTCCAGATCAAGGAATGACACAAACCATTTTGATTTTGGTGATATTACATAATTGGTACAAACAGGAGTGGGAAACCTAATTTACGTGGAGGTACTGTCTTTTTTTTCCGTGCTCCTAAGTCATTCTCTGTCCCCTCTTTGTTTTAGCCGCTTCAGTGTTTTCCCTCAGAGAGCTCCAGCTCCAGAAGGACCCAGGCCACCGCAGCTCAGTGTTTCAGCCTCTAGGTAAGGTTCCTGCCACGCGATCGCAAGACATGGTATGACCTTACTACGAGTCACCGTTATTCCAAGCCGCTCATTTCTTCACATAGTGGGCAACTGTAACAGCTCTGTGCACTATGTTCTGTGCATAAATTGGGGTCCAGCATTCGACTTGGTAATGAGAATGTGGTGCACAAAATGCATCATGGGTGCATGCTAATGCATTCACATTTGTTTTTCCTTATGTTATCATAGTCGATAGTTTCATATTACACATGAGAAGCCTGACAAATTGAAGGTTTTGAGTCTTTAATGATAATTATGGGATACAAACTTTGTAAGTGTGCTGAACTGCATGGGATGTAACAGATTTCAAAGCAGCTCTGTTTTGTTTCCGGACCACAACATCTGAAATGTTGACAAGTCTGCAGATGTACTTTGCTAATTAGCAACGCTCTGCAAGAAGCTGGCATGCTGACTTTGTTTACTGTGACACAATGCCACAGATAAGAGTCTCTGAGGAACTGGAAAGAAAAGTAAAATAAACAAGGAGTTGTCTCAATGCAAATTACTATCACCCATTTATATACTCTACTATCCCTTCATATACCTAATGATTCTAGCTATGTCTTTATTTTTATCTCATGTAAAGCTTTAACACCTAACTAATAAAAATGACATGGGAAAAGGGTATTTTAAGATAGAAGCATGAGTCATTGCTTTCCAGAAAAATATACCGTCTTATCTGTTTCAATTGGTGCCTGTTAACACTGAGTAATCATCATTTAAGTGTTTAAACTCAAATGTGGCCCTCTGCAGGTCGAGGAAAGAACCGAAGGCAAAGCATCTTCTAGAAGTCACAGGGGAGGATCAGAGCCGCGCAGTGACGGGAAGCTGCCTTTTTCACACCACAGCACAAAGGCCAACACAGCTCAGCACATTCGCGAGCATGCTCACCTGCATGTACACACAAAGTTATGTGCACTCACTCATTTCCAAGGCAGCTGACCATGGAGACACACATGGTTTCCGGAAATATACTTGTACTGCATTTGACTGAGCTGAGATACACTCTCCCTCCACACACATAGCCTACAGTACATATTTGCACATATTTGCACAATCAGCGACACTGAACATGCTGCCATTACTTAGTTGCACACACCAGAAATTTATTTACCCTGCTGACCCACACACATGCATTTCAGCCCCAGATGTCAATGATTAGGGCCCTAAATAAAGCCGCTCTGCATACACATATACCCAGGCTTGTGTAATTCCCATCCAGAGCACACCCAGGGCTCTAGCCATTTAACGTAGCTACCACATCTGGAACCATCATCCAGTCTCAGTTGTACAGACAGGAGGGTTGTGGTGCAAGTGGAGGTCAGTTCAGTTAAAAGTGAAGACTAAGGGGGTCAGGTTGTTTCCAAAATTTGCTAAATGTTTGTTGTACTAAAGTTTAGGCTTGTTTCTACACAACCCAATTGCCAGAGAAATATGTTGGCACTGTACGTTTCTACAAACCAGGGGATACGTTACGAGACCAAAAATACATTTCATAAATTTGTTTCATATCAGCCTCATATCACGCTTGCAGAAACGCATAATGCCACGTTGTTCACGTTGTGAAATGATTGGTTAGGTTCAGGCAACAAAACTACTTGGTTAAGGATAGAAAAAGATCATGGGTTAAAATAATAATGTAACGTAACAACGAAACGTAACAACGTAAGCTAGCAACGTAACGACGTAATGACGTAACGTAACAACTAATGTAACAACCTTAACAACATAACTACCGTAAAGATATAATGACCGCTCTTAGCAGACTTTGTTACGTAACTTTGCTTGTTGTTCTAGCTTGATATACTGATTGGTATTCTTCATTTGCGCTGCATGTTGTTCACTGTACTTTGTTACTTGCTCTGCCCAAATGCAAAAACATCCACATTCAACATATCTGTGGTTTGCAGATACATTCACACCAAAACATTTTCCTGGCGATTGGGCTGCTACACCAAAATATAGCTTACACTCTCTGATTTGGTTTTAACGTCCAGTGACCTTTCCGAATTGCAACATTTCAAAAGCACCCATCCAAAATTAAGACCAGAAACCATTCTACAATTCCTTTTGAGTACACCGTTATTTGCATTTATGTCAATTGTATTTCATAACATGAAAATCTGAGGATTCAAAGCCTTGTTAGAATTTCCAGCAATTATGGAAGAGAAATGTTGAAGATTTAATTTCTTATTTTGGCCGACAAGAAGTCAAATTTAAATCTAAAAATAACAGTTTATAAAGGGCCTCAAAGTTACTCCAGGTGGCTGAAACCTCCAAATTTGCTGAAAGAACCTGGCAATAGTAGCTAAGGCCTTCCATGCTAACAGGCACTTGCTTAATAACAAAGAGTTTGTTAGCTATGAATGAGCTAACAGGATAACTAAGCAGCAAACTGTTACCAAGAGGCTTCCAGCCTCTGAAATGGTTGTATAATGAAGTGTCAACCTCATACAGCACGTTAGCTAATGCATAAGATATGGAGCTAATGATGGTTAGCAACCAGGATATGCTAGCTAGCTAAGATGCTAGCATAATTTAAACAATTTATCTGTGATAAAATGATAATTTCCCTATCAAAGACCAATATGGCAGCTATGGGGGCGTTATGTCACCCGGCAGTTTGAAGCTGTATATACACAAGCACTACAAACACTGAAGTAGTAGTACACAGTACATTGCACATTGAACCTACCATGAAATCTGACTTCATCATGTATATAAAACGTTGTAAAATGGATTCATGTTGACAGATTTGCCTTGCTACAGCGCCCCCGTGTTTCAACTCAGTGTGGCTTTGTGTTCCATACAGTGTTAGGAGCTGACATTCACTCCAGTTTTTGAAGTTGCCTTAGTAGACTGTGTATGAAATTTTGGCTTTGTGGAGATTCTATGTTTGATCTAGTGCAGCCAATGAGGCATTTGCTTTGTGTGTAAAGTACTCACCATGAGTGTGTGTATTTCTTAGTCTCCTATTTGCACAAACCAGAAGTGTCCTCTGCTCCCTTCCCTTTGTGTCTTACCTCATATGGTTTCAAAATATGATCGTACCAAAACCTATAAACCCTAGAACCAGTAAACTGAGAAAGTATGTCTTACAAGTACTTTCTAGTAGCAAATTTCTCTCAGCAGTACTCACCGCTACCGCTTATATTTTGCACAGCTCTATTGCACCTATTGCAAGGGAGCATCTTTTGGCTGTAGGACCATAATAGGCAGTGTATAAAAGTACATACACACAGTATAACTTAGAAATAGAACGTCTAGGTATCTGCAGAAGGGAAACTTCAAATCTTCCTTATGTAATGTCCTTCACAGTTTCCTTGTGATTGAGCACAGAGGTGATGCATACTGTATGCCATAGGAGATGAATTGATCTGCAGAGACAAAAGTGATGGAGGATCGTAGCTAAGCTGCACTCTCCTCTGCCCTTACTCCCTCTCTAAACTGTCTTGAAGAAATCTGCTGCAAGTCTCCACTTGCCTTTGATTTAGCACTTCTAGATTGATTGGATCCACAGAATAGTACATCAAGTAAGAGCAAATGAATGATGCTTTGAGACTGTTCAGGGACGACAGAGGTAGAGATCCTAACTAGGAATCTAACGTGAAGTCCTCTCTACATTATATCATGCTGCTTGGGCAGAAGCCCCGGCAGCCTTTTGCAGAAGGTTTGCAACAGTTTAACACGTGGTCAACGTTTGCGAAACGATCAGGGTTAGGTGTAGGAAATAAAAATACTTAACGTTGTGAAACGGACGCGTTGAGGTTCAGGCAACAAAAATACTTCATGTTATGAAACGGTTAGGGTTAGGTTTATGCACATTAGGGTTAGAAATGTCTGTTACGTCACTTAAGATTCAGACGTAACATCTAGTGACACAACATTGTTCGTAAAAATATCTTAACATTCGACAAAGGTCCCCTGAGTAAAAGTCCTGTGTTTGTTTGACCCATCCACTCCCCCTCCCTCACACCTTTAGCAGAGTATTCACTCGTAATGCTACGACCGTTGGTCCGAGCGGCTAATAATCACGAGGATGGGTTTACATTGGAGTTAGTTGAAAGCCCGGTGCATCTCATACAGACGCTAAAGGCTGGATGGTGTCAAGACTACAAAGCCTACTGACCAAGTGGCGGTATTTGACGCCTTGGGAATTAAGACCAGGCAGGCAGAGTAACCAGAGTTGGTTTGACCCTCAAAAGCAGAGTGTGTTTAAATTAGCCCGTAAGCTAAGCTTTGAACCCCTGAAGCACTCCAGAGCCGTGTTTGTGCAGGTCAGGGGAGGTTATGTTCGTGTACAAGTGAAGAGACACAATGCCTGAAAGATTTTTCTACCTCTAAAAGTGACTAAAGCTGATGGAAGAAATATGTTGTGACCATCCGAACCTCTGTTCACCTGTCAGTGAGTGGAAGCAAAGGTGAACGCAATGGGAAGAGACATTTAGGAAAAACCTGCTGGGACCTCAGAGGGGTGTATTAGCTGTGGACGTTACGTTTCCAACCTCCCCCTTCCTTCCCTCAGTGGCAGAAGTATTACTGTGTGTTTAGTTGTGGTAAATGACGCTATTTTAAATACTGGACTGAAAAAGAAATAATATATATATATATATATATATATATATATATATATATATATATATATGTGTGTATTTTAACAGATGTTTTCCTCTTTCTCAGTGAGTTTTATGCCGTTAAAAAAACAATAAAACACTGTATTTAAGATTAAATAAAGGAAAAAAAACCTGCAGATGTCTAAATGTTTTATAAAAGAGAAGTTTAGATTTTGTATAAGATGTGATATTTTGTGTGATTTGTCTACACTGTTACGAAATGAGAAATTGAATGTAATGTGACGCCAACAGGCATATAACTCATTGAATAATTGATTCATCAATGAATAAATAAACTATTGAAATTCTGGCACTCACTTGCCTGGTCAATGCATTTTCTTTTCTTATGTAGATAATCATGATGATAGGATTTAGTCCTTGAAGGACACAGTACAATGGCAGATGTACAGTGGCATAGATGGACACCAGATGGTGCTGTCGGTCAACTGCGTGTCAGAACAGGATGTCGCCTTAGTTTTTAATATTGATGCACATCTGGTGATTGGAGGCCGCTGCAGTACCAAATGTATAGCAACACCAATAGTTCTAAACATGATGATCCTGATCTTTAGAAGACAGTGATAGGGCAGAATATGACTTACTTTTGTAATATATTTTTAAAAGAGCATACATAAAGAAGTTGAACACATACGTATATTAGTACAGGCACAAATCCTTAAACTTGCTGTTTTTCAGACACAATCAGACGACCATTGCTATGGTTTGGATTAAGTTAGAATTTGTACTAATAGAAAGCAATATGAATATCAAAAACATGTAGTTATTATTAAACTAGAGCCAAGTGGCTTTTAAATACAACGTTTGCATAGGCGGGAATTTCACAGACATCTTTTAAAAAAGAAAGTAAAATGTGTTATCTTTTACTGAAGATAACACATGATGGTATATGTTCAGGCCATCACATTGATTAAGAAGCTTTGTGCAAAAACAATAAGTGACCGTAGTAAAACTAAATGTGTGGGGTGAAAATGCTTTTTTTTTTCAAGTTAATATGAAATAAAATGCTTTCATACTTTTGGAAATATATCAAAACTTGAACTCTATGAAACCTGAAGCTCAAGATTTCCAAATGTATCTCCTCCTACAATTTAAACTCTCCAAGCTCCACTAGAATTGACACTGTCACCACAACTTTTATACACATTTGTGAAATTATTGTTTTGTTATTCTCATTTTCATACTCTCCAGTTGTTCTCAGTGTATTGTTCTATCAGAATATGTACGCCACAGTGATATCACATGGACGTGTAAATAGTTATATCCCCGTAAATACAAAAGAAAAACAAAAATGGAAATTGAACGTCAGCCGAATCACACATAACACGACAGTGAACAAGACTGTTGGCTTTAGAAATCTGTTCTGTATCGGAATTGGTGATCAGGGGTAAAAAAAATAATAATATAAAATAATAGTGAATCAAGAGAAGAATATAAGAATGATATTTGAATATTTGTATCAATATTATATTATCATTTTTTACACAATAATAAACTGGAAGCATAGGTTAACTGTCAAGGCTGTTCATTAATTTGCAACAACACCTTCGTGAATTGAATTTAAAATCAGAACCAAACCAGATCTCAATAAACAAAGTTTATTGCTTGTTGTTAACTTCAAACTTTACTGAGCACTTAAGTTAAGCTGGGCTAAAAGATACTTTTCATTTTAAAAGTAATACAAATCTTATAATAAATAATTGGTTATTAAATCGTATTTTAATTCCTAAAACAATCTGAAGCGCTGTTTTTGTTTTCTAACATATTCCCATTAGAGTCACGGCAGTGACATTGCTCAGCTGACTTGCATCTTGATATCCTAAAATCATCTGTATTTCTTCCCTGATGATACCTAATTTTTGGCTATTGCAGTGGCGTCGTTAGGCCTATTTTAGGGGGGCTGAAGCTTCTTCAATATGCTATGTGTCAAAATGCCCAACACTGTTTATTAACGCTCACAAACAGGCAAATGATCAGTTCAAATTAGTATTATTTTATTTGTCTTGAAATACAAGATTATTTGATATTTACACGATATTTTAAAACTATTTGAACCTTTTTTTTTTTTTTTAGCTCAACTGCAAAGCATGCTGGGAAGAATGATAACAAGCTCACAATCTTTCAGTCTTCAGATTTCTGAACAATTGTTCTCACTTTGTACTGAATAAAAACTAGACTTTTCTATATTTTGTATATATATATTATATATTTTAAAGATATATATATCAACAGTGCATGACTTGGAAGATTAATGTAGAAAAATGTGTGATATGAAGTTAAACCTACAAAGGTTAAGTTCAGCTTTAGTATCAAGAATTATTTCTCACTTTGTACTGAATCAAAAGGAGACGTTTTATATGAGGAATGCTCACTGTCGGTGAAGGATGAGGACTGGCTTGGATTGTTGCTACAACTGAAGGTTTTATTTTGAATGATGATAATTGATATTTCTAAGTTTGAACAAGTTGTGATCTTTATCAATGTTAAACCTTTAGCATTCCTCATTTAAACTAAGAATAACAGAAAGCTGCTAGCAAACTGCAAAACAAAGAATTAAAATGAGAAAAGTGTCTGATGACAAAATTGTGTTAGAAATCCCACAAATCACAGATCTCAAATATGAAGGAATCAGTTTCATGCTAATTGTTGTGGACTCAAATGATGACGGAAGAGATTGATGGACTTTATTCAGCTTTGAGAAGAGCAGGAGCTGTCGGCCGGAATCTGCAGGCGGAGGCGGCACATGCAGGTTGCTGGCAGAGAATAGATAGAAAGAAAGATATGTACTTTATTCATCCCCAGGGGGAAATTTGTATGTTACAGCAGCAAGACACACCAAGAAGCAAAGTAACAGAGTAACCAAAAATATTAAGTATTAAAAAATGCACAATATATACAATAGAATAACGGAGTAGGACAAATTAAATATCAGAATATAGAATACATAAGATAAAACAACAAAAATGCACAGTATATACAATGAAATAGAATAGTGTTGAATTAATAATGTAGGTGGATATTTGACCTCAGCTGTCGGCCACAATCTGCAGGCGGAGGCAGCTGTAGGTGGATGTTTGACCTCAGCTGTCAGCCAGAATCTGCAAGCGGAGGCGGCTGAAGGTGGATGTTTGACCTCAGCTGTCAGCCAGAATCTGCAGGCGGAGGCGGCTGAAGGTGGATGTTTGACCTCAGCTGTCAGCCGGAATTTGCAAGCGGAGGCGGCTG